CGATGGTGTCCTTAGGTGGACGCAGTCTTTGGTCAGATACCCGTGGCTCCGGTGGTACTGACAGTATTTGCTCCGGTCCACCCCAGGTTTGGCAGGAGATGGACGGGGACGTTTGACGCCGCCATCCTTGAAAGCTGTACTTGCGCACTCCACTAAGATGCGCTCGTGGGAAGCCGTAAGCAGAGTGTATTTTGTGAACCGTTCCGAGGGCCCCCTCTGCTCCCGGGTGTCCCGGGGTTTGTCGTCCCTTCTCTTCTCCCCGGTGCATCGAGGAAGGGCGGTATCTTGTCATGGAATGTTGCTGGATCCGCGGTTTCTAGGGTCTCGGGCTCTGTTGGCTGCTTCCATTTCCTCGTAGTCCATGTAGGCTCTGGCCTTCTCGAGGAGGGCATCGAACGTTCGGGGTGGTTCGATGCCCACGGATTTTCTGAATTCGGTGCCGGGGAGGAGCCCCCTCTCCAGCAGGTATCTCTTCATATGGTCCATGCAGGGACCTGGATGGCTTCCCGGTTGAAGCGGTTAATGAATTCCCTCAAGGTCTCATCGTGCTTCTGGACGATGGCCTCGAGCGTTGCTTCGGTCTTCGGGTGTCATCGCGAAGCAGTGAACAAGCTGATGAACTAGTTCTTCAAGTTTCGCCACAAGGTAATTGACCCCGGGGCGAGTCCCTTGTACCAGTCCATAGCTGCTTTCCTCAGGGTCGTGGGGAACAACCGACATTTGATTGGTCCCCTGACGTTGTGGTAGTGCAGCATGGCTTCGAACCCGTCTATATGGTCGACCGGGTCGGCGACACCGTCATATTATTTTAAGTGGGAAGGCTTCTCCATGCCCGGGGGAATGGGCGCCTCCATGATAGCTTGTGACAAGGGACCGCGGGGGTCGTCCTCGTCACTCTGTTCCAGGGAACGGGATGGGGATCCGATGTATTGTCGGTCACGGTGGCCCTGGTCGTGCGGGATGTTCCTCGAGCGGTGTGAACATTGATAGTTTCCTCCGTGTCTGTCCCCGGGAGGTCTTCGTTCTTGCCGTGAAGGGCCATGGTCGCGCCTTCCTGCTTCGATGAGTGGTTCCCTCTCCAAGAGGGGTCGCCGCTCGATTGGTCGAGGCGACGAGCTTCGAGAGATGTCCTGATTCTGTCTCCGGTGGGGAGATCGGGGACGTTCCTCCGTTTGTCGAGGGATAGGAGATTGAGGCCTCCCGTGTCTTCTAGGGGGCCTTCGGTCGTCTTCGAGTGCTCTCAGTCTTTCCCCCTGAGCAAAGATGAGATAGTTGGTCTGATTAATCGCCGCGAACAGTGCCCTGGTCGTGGTGTCTGCCCCGACGGAGACAGGGACTTCGTGGAATTGGGCGGTTGGATCTTCTTCAAGCTGAGGAGGGATTGATGAAGATGAAGTTGTGGCTCCGTCTCGGTAGTTAGAAGGCCCGGGGATGTTGCCGCCGGGGACCGTGTTATGGCCGGTGATGTCGGCGTTGTCGGGGCCGGCATTATTGTCGAGGCCGACATTATTGTCGGCGATGTTGTTATTAGCTTCGATGACGCATACGTTCTGGTTGTCGTGAGTCTGGTCAGCCATGACAGTCGAGGATGGTTTTAGCTTTGGTCTTTTAAGTGAAGAGAATACGGGGAAGCTTAGATTCCCACAGACGGCGCCACTGATCGTACCTGGTCAGAATTGGACCGTCACAGCTGGCTCCGGGCTGGATTTGAAGGAGATGGGGGGGTACCTGCAAGACACTCCGATGGCAAAATGAGAGACGGAATGAGCAAGCAAGTGAGTATATAGGTGTGAATGAATGAATACCTGACCCTCTCATGAGAGAGGGTATTTATAGCCCCCAGCGCTGGGCCAAAGTCCCCACTATTGGGCCACACAGAGGCCCAATAACGGGAACTGCCAGGGTTTACGTGAGTATGGAGTCCAGCGAGTGGACTCCCCCCTGGTCAACTGCTCCGCGAGAATAGGGTTGGACCCGAGATTCCTGGAGGGCAGTTTGATGTGTCCGTTGAGAAGTGGTGGACCACGTCCCCCAACGGTTAGATGGGGATGTGTCCCACAATATCTAACTTGGGCCGTTTGGACCTTCTTTTCGTAGGACCAACGTAGACCCAGTCCAGATCAAAATTTGTATGAAACAACTGCTTCGACATACTATCTAGACTAATTCGACACATCTTCTATCAAACAACATCCTACTTCGACACAATGAATTATACATTTAACACATTACTTAGGTAAATCATGAATGATTTTTGTCAATAGCAATTTTTTTCCACATGATTTAAGAAATTAAAAAAGCTTTCTACTTATCTAATTGGACCTGTTATCTTTTGGTCTATAAGTCAGCTACCGTGTTTCAATTTCTTTACTTTTTTTTTTTTGCATTTTATCTTTTAAATAATTTAACTACTCATGTATCAACCTTTTACTTTACAGATATTTTATTTTTATACGTTTTTAATTAAAACGTCATTTTATTTCAAAATATTTACTTTTTTTATAAATCAATTTTGAAAATAAAAATTCAATGAATTTCAATTATAAAATCTAAACTCGATTTAAAAATATTTTCAAAATTAATAATTAAACACAAAAATATATTAAATTTGGAAAATTTACTTTCGATTTAATATTTATTTATATTCTAAGTTTGATTAACTTTTCTTAAATAAAATTATCAGTAATCATATTTAAAAAGAGGAAGAAAAATAATGTTATGTTTGGAATACTCTTGCTTTATACTCCCTTCATTCTTATTTATAAGAAAAATTTAACTTTTTAAATTCATTGAATAATTGATGTATCTAATCAATATATAGTCTAAATACATCATTTATTTAATAAATCTAAAAAATCAAATTTTTCTTATAAAAGAGAATGGAGGAAATACATACTTTAAATCAACTAGTTTTTTTGAATATATCACCATTAGTTATGTAAATCATTTTTGTCTGTAGTAGTGTTTATTCCCATGATTTAAAAAATTAAAAAACTCTTTATTTTTTAATTTCTGTAAACATATGTATTTATGTTAGAAATGTTTAAAATATGATTAACTGAATTGTTTAAAATAATTTTATTTTTCGTAAATGTAGGGATGATAGAAATATTGTAGAGAAGGTTATTAATGTTGATTGTTTATAGAGCGTGAATTAGTCTTAAACTTAGACCATATTTAACTTCGTCAATGATACCTTAAAATTTATTTAATACATTTGTTTGTTTGAGGGCTGGATCCTCGATATTTTTTGAGTTAATACAATTATTGATTCAAAAAAAAACCTGAATGATTTAAATAGTTAATAAATTAAATTATTTAATTTAAATAATTCGAATTCAGTTTAAAATCAATTTCAAACAACTTTCTTTTTATAAATTGGTTTAATTAAAAAAATTAGTTTTTTATTAAAAAATTAAAAAATCAATTTAGAGTAAAAAAAATTCTAAAAAAAAATTTAAAATTTAAATTTTTTTTAAAAAAACATTTGTTAAAATTAAAAAAAAATCAAAAATATAAAAATCAAACTTATTCACAATCAGTTTTAAAGTTATTTATTACAGTCAAACAGCTAATTAACTGAATAAAAACCTCTGAGAATTTGTTATTTTAGTTTATGTTTATTTTCCAAATATTTTAGGTATTTAAAATATAAAAAAAAACTCTGGATCATAAAGTGATGGTATTATTATTACAAAGTTATTGATATTTAATGGAGTAGCTAGCTGCAGTATAAAAAATATAATGCTTAATTTTGAAGCTAAAGATATTGTACTTGCAAATTCCAATCCAAACTATTGCAGTACGAGTTCAACGAGCATTCCAATACTTCTCCATTAAAACGACGACATATGTAACCCACCAACGTTTCTCTTTTTGGAAAAGCAAGTAATATTAACTAAATATTAAAATTGAACAAAATTAATAATAAATAGATATATTATTTTGAAACAATTTTACTACTATTTTATAAATATATCATTATTTTTAGATAAATAATAATATAAAACTTTATAAAAACATTTTAGACAATTCCATTTTCCAAAATGTATTAGTTTGTGAAATTTTCATTTGCTTAAGTAGAAAATTTCAAAAAGTAAAATTCTGAAAATAAAAAAAAATCAGAACTTTTTTTTCAAAAAATAAAAAATATTTTTTTTTCTGAAAATTAAAAAAATAAAAAATTATTTTTTTGAAATAAATATTCTGAAAATATTATTTTTTTAAAATTGATTTTAAAAGAGTTTAAAATATAAAATTGGTTTAAAATTATAAATTAATTTTAAACTAATTTGTAAATACAAACTGATTCTAAACTAATTTTAAATTGAACGGTAATTATTTTAACAATTAATTAAATTTTTATTAAAGTAATTATTACAAATTAAATGGAATTATAAATATGATTTGGTTAATTGTAATTCATGAACTATGAAAACTCTATCTATAAGATCAATTTTAGTTCCATAACAAATTAGCTACAATTTGTTGTTATATAATACTTTATTAATTTTTTATGCATTTTAATAATTTAAAATATAATAAAATTTAGATATAATTTTTTAAGTATGATTTTTATTATTTTTAAATAAAAATATACTAAATATATTTAAATATTATTTAATGAGTAAAAATATGAGTAATTTACATCTGTATAAAAGAAAATTATATATTTATTATATTTTCATTAAAAAAATAGTAAGAATCACACATAAAAACTATTATACTTAAGTTTTGTTTTTTAAAATAATCATTAAACTTCAATAAAAATAAAATAAAATAAGCATTAATATCATGAAAACAAAATAAATATTGAGTGTCCAACGTGATACCCAAGGGGTTCAATGATAATGAAGTCACGCAAAGCTTGTTCACATTCAAAAGCTTGATTCGTAAACAACATAAATCACTCAACTTTAAGGAATGACAACTATAAAACACACGTTAAACCTAAGACAACTATAAAAAAAGCCATTTGAAGCCTTAACCTCATTTTCATCATGAAAATAATTCAAGTGCATTCTTTAGCGCTTATGACATTGCTAACGTTGTTTTTCATCCACATGGAGGGAAATTTGACACCAAATAATGTCACTCATGTTTCTGTTTCATCATCATCATTGCACTCACAGTGGCTAAAAAAAACTATCAAACAAAGATATTCAGGTTGCCGCAGCCGACCGTGGATGTGCAGTGGAGGAGAGATTCCACCGAGGAGTATGTGTTGTGGAAATCGTTGTGTGAATGTGACATCTGATAATAATAATTGTGGATTTTGTAGAAGTCGATGTCCTTTTAATTGGCAATGTTGTAAAGGTTTATGTAGAGATATAAACATAAGTATTTTCAATTGTGGGAAGTGTGGTCATAGATGTCCTTTTGGTGAACTTTGTTACTTTGGTATGTGTGGTTATGGGGGATCTTCTCCATTTCCTCCTAAGCCACCAAAAATACCATATCTTCCACCCTATCCCCCTTCACCACCAGATGCTCCAAAGGAGGAATTTTAATTGCCTTATTTGTTTAAGTTGGATATCTGTACTTTCGTTTGTTTATTAGAGCATATTATTAAATATTCTCTGTCTCAAATTATAAGAGAAATTCATTTTTTAGATTCATTGAATAATTAATGTATTTGATCTATATATAGATCAGATACATTAATTATTCAATGAATCTAAAAAATGAATTTCTCTTATAATTTGTAACAGAAGGTATACACATTTATTTTTCATGTGTTGTCAGAGTGGAAGAGTTTTCTTATTATTTTTTTGTTTATTGTTTCTTTATAAAAGAAAGTTACTACTCATTGTAAAAACTAGTAAAATAAAGTAATATGTGCATTTGTAATAAAATATTGATCACATATATGATTTATAAATTATTAAAATTAAATTAAAATATAACTTCAAAAACATGGCGCATGAGAAACTATTAAAATTAAAAATAATTTTAATTCATTTAAGAGTAATTACTTCTCAGCATCTTCCTAAGAAATTCAGGATTATAGAAGTTTATTATTTGAAGAATAATTATTTTCTTCTAAATACAATAAATTCAAATTAAACATGTAGTTAGTAATCATAGACACAAGATATAAAGGTATAATTACTTTGCCACCAAATGGTATAAAATAGTGTGTGGTAATTTCTATTTAATTCCTATGGTGAGTGCGAGGTCATAAAACCAATCTGCTCTAAAATAGATTATGACTCATTTTCTGCGTTCAACTCAAACAATGATCAACTCTATGAATCTAAATCTAAGTTCTAGTTGAACAACACTTGAATGAACAATAATATTTTTAGAAACAACTTGAAAAAAAAAAACTTTCAAAAATAAACATTTATAGAAGTTTTTTTATTTTAAAAGGTTAATAGTATTTTTGCTTTTTGCCATATTGTTGTCTTTTCTGCTTTAACCCTATAAAAAAGTTCAGAGTTCAACATTACCTTTTAAAGATTTTGTTATTTGAGAGCTTTATGATATTCAGTCAACAATTTTGCCTAAATGATGCGCCGTTGTATAATTTTTTTAATTATTTCTAATTCTATATGATCATTTAATGCTACACTATTAAAAACAATAATTATTTTTTAAGAACTTCATTATCTTCTTCATGCCTTCACCATCTTCATCAAAATCTTTATCTTCAAAATCCAAAAAATCAAAAAATCAAAAAATAAAAAAATTAAACTAACAAGTGTTTTAGACCGAACATAGTAATCCCAACCGACCATTTTGAAGAAGTTACAATCCTTTCAAAATTCTCTCAGCGCATAAAACTATCATATTGATGATCACATAAGATCTAAACTTCAAGTGCATCTAACGACCTCCACAATCTATGTCTGACAAATAACTAGTTTGTTATTCCCTCTCTACTATATATAGAGAAGGCGTCAATTCAGGTACTCAGTTTTAAATTCAATTTCAATTCAATCTTCTCTCTCATAAACTGACTTGAGCGTTATGTGAGTGCAACATCCTTCTCTTAAAAGTTTTGAATAATGTCAAAACTAGACAATGTATAATATTTATACATTAGACGTCATCTCTCTATGTCTAGGTTGCATTTTCATATTAGTACACTTAGGGATCATGCAAAAGCTATTGGGCAAGTCAAACACTTCAAAAATATGTATTTTAATGAAAAATTAGGTTTTGAGTCGATTCCCCCGTGTTATGAGTTGACTCCCTCTGAAGTTTTTTCAAAAAGGAACTTTATGTTAAAAATGGGTCGACTCCCTGGCCATTTGGAGTCGATACATAACACGAAGGAGTCGACTCGCAAGTGTATATCTCGACTCCTACTGAAGCTTATTTTCAAAAATCACTTGTGTCCAATTGGAGTTGACTCTCAGGCTATACGGGTCAACTCCCTTTCCCTTAGGAGTCGACTGCCACTTTGAATTGGTCGACTCCTACTGATCATATTGTCCATATTTGCTATTTTGCAAACATATTTTCTTTGTTTCATTCATTAACACACTTACACCTATATATAGTCATTCATGTATCATTTCTCAATTTACGAAACCACAAATATATAAAGAAATTTCTCATCATCTTCATCTTCTCTCTATGCATGCACAAAAACAAACTACACATAATCATTTTTTTGTTTGGGTGTCATCTAGAGATAGCTTGATAATGTCTAATTAGGATTCATTATAATCAATTGGGTTGAGAATTCTTTGGGGGTTTCAAATAAGAAAATCAAGGTAGGGTTTTCCTTCATAATCAATTGGTGATTTGAAGGTTTTGAACAAGATTATGCAATTAGGATTCAGCCGAGTGAAAACTTCAAAGAACGGTGGGTTCGGTCGAAGGAGTAGCACGAGACGGAGGATCAAATTGGTAAATCTTGGGTCACGATACATTCACAATTTAGATTCATCCGAGTGAAGTATTTGAAGAACTATGGTTCTTGCAAAGGAGTAGTGTGAGACGAAGGATTAAATTGGAAGTATCAGGTTCACTTGATCGAGCTCAAGATCAAGGGGAGAAAAGAAGATATAATCAACAACATACTTAGGGTTTTGCTTGTTGGGTTTCTACTTGCTCTCTTGTATCAACATTTTGCAAAGGTTAATTTTCATTATGTCAATTCTGAACGGGATTGGGGGCAGACATACCCATAGTGAGGTCAATTATAGAACTACCTAAACAAATCCTTGTGTCACACTCTTTCTCTCTTACTCTCTACTTTACATTTTATTGCAAATTGTGAAAACTTCAATTGTATGATCGATACATTGAGATAATCTCTTAGGTTAGTACCATGAAATCTTTTGTTGATTTGATTACAATATTTATGATTGTAATTGGTTTCTAACATCAACAAAATCAAACAAAAATCTGGTTTGTGCCAATTGCACTCCAAGTGTTCGAAATTTCCTTAGATAATTTTTGTCGATTATTTCATTAGAAATTAATTGCTATAGTGTGGTTTATTCAAAGTTGGTTTACTGAAAATACATTGATTATTTTTCTCATCATACGTAAACTCATTCTATCAGTTTAACGCATATCCGGTCTTTTCAATACAGTTCAGATAAATGATTATCGATTCGAGTTTATTTCTGCGCGCCATAGTTTAAACATTTTTAAAACAGGGTTTTAATTGAAAATTTTATTTGCGATATAGTCAACCCCATTTCTAGACCTTAGCCTATCGTCTAACACATTGGAATGCGACAATTCTGATTCCTATTCTTCTTCTCACTCACACTCTTGTAGTGAGCAGATCCGGTTCCACTATCCTCATCATAAATTTTTCATTTGTTGACCAATACTAAGAAACGACAGATCTCCTGATATCTGATAAACTAATTGATCTTAGGACGTAGATCACTTTCAAACTTCACGCACTTGGAAAATTCAGCATCCATACCATTATAGCTAGTACAAAACCTAGACAACTCTTTAAACTTGGTTGTATAATCAGCGATAGTCATATTACCCTACTTCAACTCCAAGAACCCAATCTCCTTACGGTTACGAACATCAATTGGAAAATACTTGTCCGAAAACTCTGTCTTAAAATTAGTCCTAGTAATAACAGTGCAAGCGACTTCTACTCTTTGGCAGGTATTCTTCCATCAGTACTCAGCTTCCTCAGATAACATATGTTTTTCGAACAATACCTTCTGAGCATCAGTGCAAGCCATAACTTTGAAAATATTCTCAATCTCTTGGATCGAAGTCTGGGTACCTTTTGGATCGTACCTTCCCTTGAACGTAGGCAGGTTATTCTTCTGGAATTTTCCCAGCCCACGAAACTCATCAGCCCTACCATTCTGATTGTGATTAGCATGTAAAGCTTGGTTTACTTGCACCATCTCCCAAGCCATTTCCTCTAGAGCATCTTCAATCGCTGGATCAATTATACACCAACCATTTCTTTCTACACAGCCATCCAAAATAAGTTAACCAATTGTAAAAAAAAAATCAAATAACAGTTAGGTAAAATAAGCATCGATAACATTCACACACATGTTGTGCACTAGAGTGCAAACAAGTTCACAAAATCTAAGGCCGAATGGACCGACCTGCTCTAATACCAACTATGTAACACCCTAAACCCTAATATATATTTTATACAAATGCATGCATAGATCATGAAGATAAAATAAAACAGTGTGTCACACATATCTCTCAACATTCAATCTTTAATTCAAAATGTGGAATTAACTTTGAAACAACATAATATCCTTATTCAAATAAGAAACTTAAAAATGAAACATGGTATTCTCAACCCAATGTTACACTATCAGAGTGACAAGAGGAATAATAAATAGCTGACAACAATGTGACGAACATAAAACGGTAAATAAATAAATGAAAAGGCTAACTACACCATCCTTCATGATTAAGCACAACAACTACTCCTTAGTCCCAACCTGAGTATTAGCAGAATACACATAAAGAGAAACATAGAAAGAAGAACAAAGGGGTGATAATACATTCCAAAAATCAAACAATGTTAAAATAACAAGGATAGTATAATCATCATATACAATCAAATCATAATCACACAATCAGATAATATATATAATTCTGCATGTAATGTCCATCGCTTCTACTCCCATGTATGTGGTACTGATCTCTTGGATATCAGAGGTATGTTATTGATGTATCCAACTCGACAATGGACTGAAGTCCTACTCATCACTGGACCAAGATCCTACTTTTCATTGGACCGAAGTCCTACCTATATCCAATTTACATGATGCATGAATGCTAAGATTAATGAAAATCGACATCCACATCCTCCAACTTCAATCCTCATCACTAGAAAAAAGTCTTACACATCACTTGTTCTTTCGAACCTAAACACATAATCATCAAATAATTATCGGTGTAAGGCCACGTCACTAGTTCTCCTGAACCTAAACATCTCAACTTTGCTTCTTTCAAACCTAAACATACAAAACATGAACTCTAACAATTATAGTTACAACATTGGTTCATCTTAAACCTAAACATATCAACAATGGTTCTCCTG